GACTTGTAGACGCGCGGTGGTGGAGATTTGTGGACTGGCGGCGGCGGTGGAGACTTCTCCGGGGGTGGTGGGGACTTGTAAACGTAAGGGGGCGGCGGAGGAGAGGAATATTGGTAGGTTGCATTGGCTATTGAGGGGAAGCAAAGTGCAAGAATTGCTACTATGAGAGTGGCTATTAGAGGAGGAGTCATTTTGGAGGCCTTTGGCTTTGTTCCCATGTTTCTTTTTGGGCGGGTTTAGGTTGTGTTGTTTGCACTCAACTTTGGCCTCCTTTTATAGATTGGGTTTCACCTTTTTTCATGCATGATTAGGCACGGTTAAGCCCTAGTGTAAATTTGGAGATAACTATTTGTTTAAGTTTAACCCTTTGATTGGTTGTCAACATGTGTTTGGCACAATTTTGACTTTTGGACTAGAGAACATGGTTTTATCTTGTTGAGCTTGGCTGGCTTTTTGTTTCCTAGTGGCTGTGAAAGAAATAAAATAAAGAAGACGCGTATTATTTGCTACTATTAATTACTCTTTTTTTTTTCGGTCTTTTTGATGCAATTTGTCAATGTGGGAGAAGAAAAATAAATAATTTATGTTACAATTTTACCATTGCCTGTCTTCCTTTAGTTTGGTAGATCTTTTGTTATACCGTTCTAGCTTTAGGCCGATATACTTTTTCATAAGTACACATATTTTCATTAAAAAATTTAAAAATAACGTAAATAGAAGTATAACATTTGATAATATAAATATATATTTTTGTTTAAATAGTTTAACGTGTCGATTCGTCTAACCATTATTCGGACTCAAGAATTTCTGGTACTAAAAAATGGCAAAAATTTAAAATTAGTCCTATAATTTGGCCACTGTCCAAAAAACCACCCCGATATTGACCACTTTCAATTTAGGTCCTATAATTTGTCGATTTCATCAATTTTGGTCCTTTTTTATCCGCACCCTGGATTAAAAAGTGACGTGGCATGAAAAAAGGATCAAAATTGATGAAATCGACAAATTATAGAACCAATATTGACGTGCTACGTAGATCATAATCACGGCATGTAACATTAAAAAACTGACACGTCATGCCACGTCACTTTTTAATCCAGGGTGCGGATAAAAAGGACCGAAATTGATGAAATCGACAAATTATAAGACCTAATTTGAAAGTGGTCAATATTGAGGTGATTTTTTGGATAGTGACCAAGTTATAGGACCAATTTTGAAATTTTGCCACTAAAAAATATAGCTTTTGTAACGTCTGTGAAGAGACTTCTTAAAATTTATGTAAATTTAGTTGAGGGGACCAGGCTTCCTGTCTCCTGAGTTGTTCATATTTTGCTGCAGTAAATGAGCAAAACATTTATAAAAGGAAAAAAAAGTTAGAGGAAAAAGTAGTTATAAGATAATAATACCTAATAAAATCTATATTAATTCATGCAAGTATTTTCTTAATGGATGTAACTACTCAAAAGTACTTAGAAACATGTATAGTTTTAAGTCATAGATTAGTAATTAACGGGAGCATTTATGTTGGTGTTTAAAATATAACATTTGAGTAAAAACGTACATATGCTAAAAGTTGTATATATTTGACGGTTAATTTATTTTTTCTTCCTTGTTTTTTGTTTGTCTTTGGAGTTGGTAATTTCAATCTCTAGCTTTCATTCGTTATATAAGATGCGTTATAAACGCGGAAAGTTCAACTTGTACGAAAGACTTCCCATATCTGATATATGTTAGAATTTAAAAAAAAAAAGGGAAAAGAAAATAAATACAAATATTTAGAATATATAAAAAAGGCAATCCATCATCTTTTGAAAGTATAAAATTCATAGTTTATTAATTTAGATTTCAACAATTTATGATTTATTAATATATATTTCAACAATTTATGGGAGATGACTACAGTCCCTTTACAGTACGGTACCGTTGATGTTTTTATCCGTAGATTATCTACACATCATTTATCTACATGTGTATCTATGATTAAAAACTCCAACGGAACCATACTGTAACGAGACTGTATCATTCCCATATGTATACCATCTTTATATGGGATCAGTGCCATCTTTTCTCTTTACTGCCACAAACAATGTGCTTGTACTTGGAAAAAAGAACTCTGGCTGATACTTAATAAGCGCTTTTAATTGGTTTCATTTTTTTAATGCTTTCATACACTAACTAATAATATTAGTTTAAAGGGAAATTATTTCCATTTTTTTAATCTACAACATCCTGAGTCATGCATGTGATTAATTCGGTAATTACATTTATAAGTGTATTAGTACGTCACCCGCGTGTTGCGCGGCATGATAAGATACTGATGTGATAAATTATAATTTAAATAAAAAATTATTCAAAAACACTTGTATAGAGAGAATAAAAGGTAGAATATAATTTTTTTTTACTACATTTAAAAATACTTCTATAAATATACCATTAGTAGTAGATGGACAATGTTCATTATCAAGACCACCATCACTAATAATAATAATTATTAGACAATAGAGATTCTTGATTCTATAAAATAATAACAGTATATGATTGTCTATGACTAAAAAAGATGAAATATAAATATTTTTTTTATTTTAAAAGTAAATTCATTAAGCTTACATAAATATTTTTTATATACAACGAAAATCTTATTTGTCACATTTATGAGACTCCTCTTAAAGTTTTTCATAAAAATGTATACGTAATAGCATAGTTTTCATCATTTTCAAATAAAAGAAAATATTACTATTCTAAAAATAAACTAATATAGGAATAATTAAATTCACATGCAATATTAGCTAATAAAAAAGTAAAAAATATAAATTAAATACTTAAGACAAAAATAAAATGAACATTTTTTGCCCTCATGTATTTAGTTTAAATTAGATCCACATATTTTTTGCTTTTCTATTGGCAAAACAAATATAAGAATTTCATTGTTTTATTTATTTATTTATTTTTGCCAAATAAGATTGATGTTGATTAGGGAATGAAGTAGAAGGTGGATCAATTTTTGTAAAGTTACAAAGATATCAGGTAATCATTAATGTTCAAGTGAGTATTAGAATACTTATTTTTTGCATGGAATTCATGAATATTATAATTTAATGTACTTTAGAAAGGTACGTTGACAAAATTTTGGTAAATTAGTACGAAAAAGGCATTTAAATTACAGTATCCAAATTCAAAAAAAATAAAAATTGTTTTGATAAAACTAATATTTGTGAAATATGATAAGCAAAATATAGTTGATTCATTATCATAAGTTGTGTTGAATTTTATCTACGGTTCAATACTGAATAATACAACCAGCGACTGAGAAACTTGGAAGGACAGGTCCGGAGACCGCCTAGATCCGAATACTAGCAATGCTAGAATACTCGGCAACACACAAGACTACAAACACACTACAGAAACTAAAAGCTCCCAAGAGGAGAATGAGAGAAAACGACCCCAACAGGGTAATGCTCACTCACAACTCGGGCAACACCGGGGCCAACAGCCCAAACCAAAAACACAAGACAGAACGACAAAACAGAGGCTAAACAAGCAAGCTAAAAACAAAACCAAATACCTAACAACAAACTAAAAGAAGGAAGCCCTCCCTCAGCAGAACATCTGAAATGAACAGCAAACAAAGGCCTACTCCAAGGAGAGAACCGAAGCACAAGATCCACGCCCGCCACTGCCTATCGCCTAGCAAAGACGAGGACCTGAGCCCCGAATCAAACCAAAACAAGTCGACCCGCTCTCCGCCCGTAAGAAGCCACAATCGCCCTCCAACCGGCTATCACCACTAGCCCAGTCCTACACCGTCCCGACCTCGACTAACACCACTAGCCAATGCCGGAAACGGCTGGCCTCCCTCGGACTCCGCAACAGAGAACGAGGAAGGAAGAGGAGCGAACGGCGTCAAAGCCCTACCGAACCTACATAACCCGGATGAGCGATCCACACTCCGCCCAGCCCCAAAAACCCTGCCCTTCACCCCAGCGCCGTCGAGGTGCCGGCGACCGGAGGCCGCGAAACAGCCCCGACGGGAGTAAGAGATCGGAGACAGAGCATACCTCAGAGCCCGGTGAGATGAATCTCCACAACCCGGTGAGAACGCAGGCGTGTACGGGCCACCACCATCTTCGGCCGCAATACTCCACCGTTCCCCATAAAAGCTTTAGTTGAATAATTGTGTATTAATTAAAAGAATTAAGGGCAGACTCTTTAGTTACCAAATTTTAGATAACCTCAAACTTAGGCATAAATAAAACAAATGATACAAATTATAAGAGAAATAAACAAACTATAAATTATCGGTAAAAATATTCTAATCAATTAGGACCATTTCTTATGTATATTCAAAACTATATGATCACTCTTATTGTTGTGACCTTCTTACTCTTTCCGTTATCATTTCTCAATTTTTTTCATTTCACAATATTCTTCTATTGCTTACCCATAAATTATAACAATAAATGTCAATATAGTTGTATAGAATAAAAGTTTATTTCTATACATATCATTATTTTTTGTTACACTTTTATATTGTATTTTTATTTTCAGGTTATATTAAGCAAATAATCAAGATAATTACCACCAATGTTAGGTCAACAGTCTACATTTATTTTGCATGAAAATTATGGTAATTTAATTTAAATTATCTATTATAAATAATTTTTTTTTCAAAATAATAAGAATAAAACATGTAAGTAATAATGATATAAGTCTAAAACAATAAAAATTTAAACTAACAATTGAGATATATGATAAATAAAAAATAGTAGTTAATTGGATTTATAGTAAGTTGTGTGGAACTTTATCTGTTACAATATTTTGATGATATATTATCGTCATTATTAAGAAAACAATATTATTGTTTATGATTATGCATTATGCATTTCTTTTCAAAAATTGAATTTTTATGATTATGGAAATAAAGAAATTAAAATGAAGGCAAAATTTCATAATGTTTATTAAAAATATAATGTTTATTATAAATATAACTTTGTTATTGTTCTCTCTCTTTGTATTTTATTTATTATCTAATAAAATTTATTATAAAATAAAAAAAATGAAATTTGAAGGTCTAAGTTTGGAATTTAGTTAAAAGAGGTAACCTTTACTGCACAACAAAGTTTGTGAATGATTAGATTTTTTACAATCTAAAATAAGTATTGAACATGTGTGAGTCAAAATAAACTACGTAGCATTCTAACTTGACATATCAAATTTGAAA